CACACACACACACACACACACACACAAAAAGACTAAAGTTAAGTTGGATATCTTGTCTTCATTATGCGAGAGCTGATATCTTTAACTTTCATCCTCCTTCCTGGATAGAGCCCATCCATATGCAGATGGCTAATTTGTAGTGTTTACAGAGTACAGGGTGGCGGTGGTGACGGTGAGGGGGACTCAAAGGCGCTGCCTACGTGTCACCCCAGGAGCCTGGTGTTAAAGCCTGCCCTTCCAGAGCAACAACATAAGTGTCCAATCTGTGTTTGCTTACCTCTGGACTCTGACGGCCGAGTCCTGGCCTTGGGGCCCATAAATTGTGCCTTTCTTTTACAAGCCCCGACAGCTAACAGGCTCTTGGGAACGGGAGCTCAGTAACGCAGCCTCTCAACAGATTAGCACCTCATCAGCCTCCTGCAGCTTCGAACAAATACGGGCCCTGCCTCCTTAAAGACACAATAGGGCAGCTACTTCTAAACAGCCCCTTTAGCCACAAAACTTCGTGGTCTGGTCTTTCTCTGGGGCACAGCTGCATCAAGGAGGCCTTTTCTGAGCCCACCCCTACCTCAATTGGCAAGATGTGTGTGTTTCAGGTGAGCAAATATTGCCACTTGCCTGAGAGTTCAATGACCATCCTTTTTTCAGAAGGAGGAGGAGGAGGAGGTGGAAGGTTGTGTATTGTTCCTGCTTTGCAATGGGAGGTGTGTGGGGGGTTACGAGGCCTCACACATCAACCATTCCTCGGGATGGGTTAGGAGGATTCTCCAGGCACAGCTGGGGTCAGCAAATTAAACATACCTGTGTAGCTCATCTGCATTTTCCCAGAGAGAGGTACCAATTGTAGTTTTTATTTCCTCTTTTAAAAGATTTCACTAAGCCACTTCTCTCACACACACACTGCTTTGTCAAACACATTAGCAGAGAACCAGTAATACTATTTTTTAAACCCTAAACTTTCTAGTAAGCAGACAAAGATAATAAAAAAGCAAAGAGAAGCGGCACATTTGTCTACACATACGCTAAAGAAAAATAAAGGTCCATTCTTGAAGGCATGCACATCCCTCATCATCTTTCTTACCAGAGTTTTAGACTTTAAAGAGATCTTTTTCTARTAAGGGATGAAAATATAGCTGTTTTGGGCAAACCGTGTTGCTTAAAGTAGGTGTTGAAGATCATCTACCACCACATGGAATTTAGTTCAAGATATATAAAACTGACTGAGTTGGTTATGTTTGTGTTGGCTGAAACTGGCCATCTTCAGTTGGGTTTATCAGTTATTGAAGTCCCAAACRTTCATTAAATCCTGTCTGACGGTTTATGAGATATTTTACTAACAGACTAACAAGATTGATGCCAAAGTTTTAGGCAAAAACGTTGACCACTGCACAGGGTTCTTAGGATTATACTCAACTATGGCAACAAACATTAACTTATTTTGAAACGTGTTGACTCCAAAACTCCAAAAATCAGTTGCAGACCAACACATACAGACATCGACAAAAACTATAAAATCTGTTTGTCATTTAAGTCTTATTTTGTRTTTWATGGTACTGTCCAGTGGTGGGCAGCACTAATCTAAAAATTAGTTCCGATAGCCCTAAAGCACTRACTCAAATATTTAGGTCCCCTAATTCTAAAGCACTAATGCACTGAAAAATTTAGCAAAAGCTAATTCTAAAGCACTAAAATAACCCAGTCGACCCATAGAACATTCTTCAACAGACAACATGAGTCACATATTGTCATGTTGTTCTCTTAAGCCTCATCATTAACATTCCACAGCTGTATTTGGGTTCATATATTGTCACCTGGTGGATAAGGGACACGTGAGCAAAATGTGTGACAGCGTTCACCCTCAGCTGTTAACAATAATATTGRTCAAGAACATTTAAAGAYCTGAGTTAGTRCTTCTAAATTTAGCCCATAAATTTAGCAAGTGATAATCCACTAATAAATTCTAAAATTAGCAAAAGCCCTAAAGCATTAATCAGGAAATTAGTTCCCCTATAGGTGCTTTAGTGCTTTAGGGGAACTGTGCCCACCACTGGTACTGTCAGACGTATAAGTTAGTCTGTTTTTGTTGTTGTTGGACAGCGATGGAAAATTTCCTGTGGGAGAATAGGGTAACGAGTACAAAACTTCTTGACCTAACATTTTTTTTCTTCTCGTTATCTGAAAACATGTTTTATTACCATTGTAATGGATCTAATACATTTATGTTTAAGCTAGTTATTCATGACATCCTTTAATGACCTAGGTTTTCATGACATGCTGTTCATCTGCAGATAGACTGATTAAAGTCAGAACAAGTTTTGCTAACAACAGTCATTCTTAGATATCACTTGTGTTTATCTTTGAGTTTTCCATTGATCTTGTATCAAATCCTGCCGACAACGCCAATAATCTGTCGTGGCGAAGTTTATCAAGAATGCAGAAACGTGTCGGAATAAATGCACAGAAAGTCTGCGTGTATGGTCATCAGATGATTTAATTCTTGAGCCACAACTCGACAGACTTCCTTGATTGACCTCTGTTTGTTGTTGCTCAAGAATTAAATCATCTGACRACCATACACGCWGAATTTCTKTRCATTTATTCCAACACGTTTCTGCATTCTTGATAAACTTTGTCACGACAACCATATTTTAAAATTGACCTGAATTCTGAGTTCTAAATCTCGACTGACCGGTCATTACCTCCACAGTGATGTGAAGGTAAAAGGTCAGCAGTCAAACGGCACACCACATAAAGAGCAGGCTAAAGAAAAGGAGCAGCTTAGGTAAAGGCTGCAGGCCCGTGGCTTCAGACAGCAGCATATTGGGTCAGAAGATGATGTGTCAGTGTGGACTGAGGGCTGACTTGATCCCCCCCACCCCAGAAGTCAAACACAAGTGTGGGTATAGTCGTGTCCTGAGAGGCCTCCTCTGCCATCACAGTGAAATGGAACTGACCCAGTAAGCAAACAAGATCTCTCCCCACATCTCTCCCTCAAGCCCAGACCAACCTTGTCTGGGTGATGGGTTTTTCTGTTGTTCTGTTTGTTTGCTTGTTTGGTCTCAAGCACGCGTATATCCAGCATGGAGTAAAATAAATAAATAAATAAATAAATAACAGAAATGAAGAAGAGGTTGACATGTGGACGGGGAAAGAGAGAGGAGGGTGTAGAAATGCATAAAATCCAGGCACCAAGGGAGGTAAAAGATCTGCTGAGAACCAGGCAAAGCTGCTCCACATAAACGCAACACCAGGTTCAGCGAAACGTTGCTGCTTTAGAGAGTTTTTTTTTTTATTTCTGCAAATTACAAATCTTTTATTTGTAATGAAAAACTCAAATCTGCTTAGCTTTGCTCTAAATGTCAAAAACTGTAGGATTATTAACTCAATACTGAGTGGGGGGGGGTGATTTAAATGTAACTGCCTAAATTCTTCACATTATAAAAACAAGTTTTCCCACAGAAAAGCTTTTTTTTTTTTTTTTCATTTTATTTTAGGGCTAACCAACAGAGAGTGACACCTACTGGTGACAGAGAGAACTGTTTACTTAAGAAAATAATCCCAACTTCTGTGTGAGCATAATCTAGCTATAACAATGGAAATGAAGCTTCATAAATAAATAAATGAATAAATAAATAAATAAATAAATAAAACCACGCATGTCGCCTGCTGAGTCTTTGTATTCAAAATTCTTGTTTGTTTTTGTTTTTGAGGGGTTGAATTTGATGTTTGTGCTTCAACAAAATGACACAAATGCATTAAAGATCCAACGTAGGCACGTTTAAAAGAGAAGTTTGTTCCATCCACACAATAATATTACATATTTTATTTAATATTATATAGAAGTAAAACATTTTTAAATTTATTGACTGCCTGAAGAAAAGAAATTATATCTCAATGGGACCTTCCTGGTTTATTAAAAGTTAAATAATAAACACATTTTTTTATCATATCTTTATAATAATTTGAGACATATAAGAATGGAGTTTTAGTTCACGCAAAACTAAATGTTCAAATCACCTGGGTGGGTAGCTGATGTGTAAATGTTCCTCCAGCAGTTTTTCTGGGTCGTCTGGGTCAGAAACAAAGTTCACGCCTTGAAACTTTCAGGACTGATAGATCTGTGAAGGAAAGCATCTTTCATCCAATAAAAACAGAAATAAGTTCCACTGACAGGAGGCTTATAGTCACTTCTATCTGTGTTCATCTGTTTTAAACAGTGACAGATGTTTTCTCTGGTTTCTAATGATGAGTTTCTTCAGGAAAAGCACATTTTATCCGTTCAGACTGGAGCCAAACAGTTATTTGATGCTAGAATTAAATAAATGTTCAGGGGAAAAGGCAGCTTTTATTATGACTGATTTCAAACAGTTCCCCACCCATTATGTTTTTTTAACCGTGTCATTACTGTTGCGCGGTGAGCAAACTACTCTGTGTGGCTCAATAATCACATCCAGCTGCTGCTAAATGCTTTGTGACAAGTGAAATCACCGCATCATCACTCATCACGATGCACAAAATGCAAACCTCAGGTGTTTCTGTGCACAAATCTGATTCTGGTTTTTGGATGTGGAGTCTTTAAAAATACAACAGAAAGGAAGTGAGAGTTTTAAAACAGACGTTTCGTTTACTGTTAAGTTCTCATTCCATTGGTATGCACCGAAATATACAAAACACTGACATCTGCCAATCCAGTGGCAAAAACAAAGGAGGGAAAAAGACAAAAGGGAACTGAAACACTCCCAAACCACTCAAACAGAGCAAACTACAAAACTATTGGGTTATAAATCCCTTTAGATTCTACTCTTKTCTGTTCTCGACAGAAGTTATGTTAAACTGGTTCAGAAAACGTAACAAACGGGGACTCTGAAAACTTTATTTAGGTATCCACACAAACACTTCTGCAAAAAAATCCCAAAAAAAAAATCCTAAAAAACTGCAAAAAATACAAAAAAAAAAAGTAGAGACAGACAGATGAGGCTGCCATCAGGAGCCCGCTGCTTGTTTTAGCCTCCTGTTGAAGAGCTTTATTGGCTTTATTTAACATGTTAAGTAATACAGTCTTCACAATAAGTTCACAATCTTGAATTAAAAAAAAGAATGTTGTAGTTCCAGTTCATGCCAAAGGACAGATTCACAAATAGTTCAGGAGTGAGAACTTAGTTCTCAGACTGTAAATCCCTTGTGAAAAGAGCCCTTTACTCCTGGTGTGACTCTGATTTTGTTGCTGATTTCCTCTTTTACCTCAAGACCATTGTGCAACACTGTCCAGAATTACGTCTACATTAGCATATTTACTTTTCAGGCTTGGCTTTAGGCTTGAGATCGTCCTGAACCAAAACTGAAAAAGTCCATGGAATGTTTGCAGACTTTATAAAAAAGGAAGAAAGGACTCTCCTCTCTCCTGACAGTCACTTAATGCGTTTCTGTGACACCCGCCGCTCCGCCTGCTCGGCGGTGGCGGCGCATCACGCTGCGAAGTCTGTCGGGTTTTTCCCCACTTTCAAAGCATCTGGAGAGGAATTCTCCCTTCGATCGGCTTTGATCTGTTTCCACAACAAACAGTTCTGGAGGGAAGGTCTGCCGCTCCCAAAACTTCTCGCCAAAAGTCCCTGTGACAATCCCTGTCCTTCATACAAATGGTGCAGTACACGCTATTAGCCACTAGGGGTCCTCCTCCATGTCGTCCAGGTTGGGAGCCATGATAAAATGTTTGGGGTAAACAAGATTGTTCTCGTCTGCGTACTCCTCCCAGCGTGCGTCATCGCTCTCRTGGGTGATGTAGCGCTCGCCACAACGTGTCTCGAATTCCCTCAGGTCCAACCAAGTCTGGTAATCCTGGGGAGGGAAAAAARTGGATTAAACTTTAAAACTATGTCAGGAAACTGTCTTTAACAGTAAGAATATGAACTTACTGGGAAGATCTTAAAACTTTAAGGGTACATGCTTACTTTTCCATTTATTTTAATTTACAAATATTTCACACAAGTTTAAATGTAGGGAAGAGGAATAGAGCCACAGAGCCAAAAAAAAGTTTTTTTT